CCGTTCTGGAGTTCGTTGGATCTGTATCTTTGGGTCGAAGTTCTGTTCTTCTTTGTGCGGCCCATCTAAGTACATTCTGTTGGCTCGTATTGTGGCAACTTTGGTGAAGCTTTGACGGAAGTTGGGGAGGGCGTTGGTTTCTAGTTACGATCTACTGTTTGGTTTAATGTAGCATGTTATTTTGTGTTTTTGTTTTGTCGTGTTGTGTGTTTAGGTTTGTTAGTAGAGACAGTCCTTGGCCCGACGAGTCGGCCCGTTTAGCTTGACGTTAAGGTTCTTCATTGGTAGCTCGTTTAAAAAAGTAAGGTTGGGACCGTTTACCCCGAAGCCTGTTGGGCTAGCTAGAAACAGTCATGACTAGCCCGTTTAACTTGAGGTGGTTGTGTAAATGTTTGGAACACGTCAGGGACATGAATATGTTTCAAGTTTCAAAATGCTTTGTACATTACAATTTCGCTATTTTATTTTATGGAAATTAATTTTCAGCTGCAACTAGTTATTATAATTTGAAATATAGTTATTAACAAATTTTGTTATTCTACTCTACATTAAACTATTTAAGTCAATTAGAAAAGCTAATAAAAAACAATACATGAGACAAAGACCAAACGCATATAATACAATGATAGAATATAAATTTTGCAATACGATAAAATGTTGTGAAAATTCTTAAAGCGAACAAATTGACTAGTAAAATGGTAGTTTAAGTAATAGTTCGAACACTTCTTTTCTTTTGAGGAAATATATGCTATTTAAGAGTTTGTAGTGTGTTCATATATGAAGTGTAGTTATCTATATAGAGTGACAAATACTAAATAGCTGTTGAAAAAAAAACCCATTACTAACCGTTGTAATTTATTATATATATCTTTTATTTTTTATACATTTATTATTATTATTATTATTATTATTATTATTATTATTATTATTATAGCATGTTTAGCCTGAGGTCAATTAGAATTAAAGTTAGGTCATTTTATTGGTAGCTCGTTTAAATTGAAGCTTTTTAAATTCGACTCGTTTACTCCGAAATTGCTCAAGCTAGGCTGTTTAACATCTCTATGTGTGAGGGAATAAACATTGGGTTCTCAAACATGTTACATTTAAATATAAAACGATGCTCAAACAAGACAAGATAACCACACACATTAATAAAAATTCAATTATTAATACACCTAATTGTAACATTAGGGGGAAAAATATCAATATTTGTCACGCGTGCATGCATGCGGGATATGCTTGGCCAATAACAATAAGGCAAAGCATGGGTTTCTTAGTCAACATATTATAATGATTTTTTTTTTCTTTTTTTTTTCATTTTTTTCTTTGTGAGATTTTTAAATTTTTCATGAATATGGAATGGTATTGAAAGTACAGCTTGGCAAACATATAGTTATTTTTTTTTTTATTTTTTTTTTTTTGGTGTGG